GCTGGGGTGGCCCTTGTCGGGCTGGTCCCACTGCCCCGGGCAGCGGCAAAAGCTGGAGACGTCCAAGCCTCTGAACACCCCTTAACTCCTGAGCAAACGAGAGCTGGTGAACCAGGGAAGGGGAAAAAAAAAAAAAAAGCAACAGAAAAGCATTTAAACATTGGCAGTAACCACAGTAAAATTATCACCTACTTAAACAAAAATAAACACGCACACACGGGGAAAAAAAAAAAAAGCATAAACACAAATCAACAGGGGAAAAAACCCACAGCTGAAACAAAAGAGAAGCCAGTGCCTTTCTAGCTGGCTGGGTAATCGGGGAGGGCTGCAGCCGCTGCGGCTTTGCCTGCCCTAATTCCCGTCCCCAGCTCCGACTGAGCAACCGCGGCCCCGCGGTCCCCGGGGGGCTGCAGAGAGTCGACTCCTTCCCCCCCCTCCTGGCCCTGCGTGAACCCCTCCTTGGCAATCGGCTGCTCTCTGCAAGCCTCCACCTTTTGGCAGCCCGGCCGAGCCTTGAAGGGAGGGCTGCGCCTTGTTCCCTGGTTTGGGTTGTACTCCGACGCGGCCAGGCTGCGCCAGCACTGGGCTGAGGTGGTGGCGGTCGATTTTTTCGCTTTAAAGGGGAAAAAAAAAAAAGTCCCTTTCCCATCTGCTCCTGTTCAAAGGCTATAACAGGGAGATGGAGTGGGCCTGTGCTGGGAGCAAAAACTTGAGCCAGGACACAGAAAACCGAGGAAAAGCTGTCTGAGTGGTAGTGAGGGCAAATAGGTTGGTCCTTATACAGGGAGCAGGGAGAGATGGTATAAAATTAAGGTGCAGTACCCATTTCTCGCAGGTCTTTCCAGTGGCTATGTCTACACCTCACAAGAATCAGCAGTGAGATGCTGTTGATCCCTGTCTAGTTTGCACAGACTAGGGACAAATATATCAGTGACTCCCCCAGCCCCCTTTCTTTCCAGGGCCCAGTTTAAATCTGTGCAGTTGCTTTCCCACCCAGTGAAATCCAGTAGGCTCTGTGAAGGGCTGACAACCCAAGAAGACAGAGGCCAGTTCAGCCTTCCTACTCATCAGGGCTGATTCATTAATAATTAGTGCCATTAGGTGCACTACAGCAGTGCCTGAGGGCCCTAATTAAAGGAAACCGAACTTGTTAAATCCAGAGAGACGGATTTACCCTCTGTTGTTAGTCTCGCCTGCTGCAGAGGTGGTGCCTCCAGGGTGGGCAGTAGGAATAGCCCTGGCTTTCTAGGTATGCAGCTTCTCTGTCTTTTTTCTTCCTCCTCTAGCTTTTTTCTCTTCTTCACCTTAGTTGTAGATCCTGCTTACAGGCTGCTGCAAAGCCTGGCCGGTGCAGGAGGTGGCTAGCAGGACTCGTGGGAGGAGGTGGCAAATCAGGTTAGTTTTCAGAGCTGCTTCATTCTTCACATTTTGCTACTTCATAGGGCAAAAGAGTGGGTTTGGATTTTTTTTTTTTTTTTGCGTGGGGGTGGGGTGGGCAAAGTGATGGGGACTGCAGAGGAGTCTGTTACAAAATCAGATGCAATTTTAGCTGTCTGAAAGAGTTGCTTTAGTCTACAGGCAGCTGATGATCAATGGTGCTGTTGGCAAATCTGCTTCAAACTGGATGCTGTCTCTCCTGAGGGAAAGTTTCAACTCAAGGCCCACTGTAGTGGTGGTACAGCAAGGGACTTTTGTTTGCTTTGGGCTAAGGACCTTCTGCTGCCCAGTTCCACCAGTGAGAAGAAAAGCTGGAGATGATGTGGGAGAGAAACACAGCACTGTCACTGGTGAGTTATTGGCTGTTCCTTTCTCCTCAAATTGCCACAGTGGGTCTGTGTTAGAAGATCTTACACAAAAGCCCCATCCTTGAGCTATGGATGGGCAGGTTGTGCTGGCATAGGCTTTGCCTTTCAGGAGGTACTGCAGAAATAGGTTTAAATGATTTGAATGATCAGAAACCCAAGCTGTGGCCTCTACTTTTTCGGTTTTATTGTTTGTTTTATTTTGCTTGTTTGTTTATTTCCCAAGCTGATATGAAGGAAAGATGGAAACAGACTGCTGAAGGTCAAGGTGAGACTGACCGACAGTTCACCTGAGTGTGGTATTCACCAGCAGAAATCCATGCCCACAGATGCTGGAAGTCTCCTCAGCAAGAGAAACAGCATTGCTGCAGGGGACACACAACTAGTCTTGATCTTCTCTACACAATTCTTCTCTGGGAAAAAGTACCCCCTGAAGTCAGTATGCATTCTGCCTAGGTAAGGATTTTGAATGCCCAGTTTTGCCTCTGACAGAGATGCTATCCATATGTGAACTCCAGGTTCATGCCACCAAAATATTAAGTGCTTGTGTGTGCATCATACTTTGGGCCTCCAGACTTCTTGCCTATGTTTTTGGTTTATTAAGGACTGTGGAAAAACTCACTAAATCTCTCAAGCATCAAAGATCAAATCTGCAGGGCACCTTTTTTAGCTGTGAAGCAGCAGACTCGAGTGGATGGGCAGTGCATCCTTTAATACCACCAATTTTTGTAACACTTTGGAAACTACTGGTTATTCAAACTGATGCTCCCTAAGGCAGGGAACAAAAAAAACACAAAACCCAGCCAAACAAACTGGGGAAAGAAAAAAAAAATAAAAAGAAAATAGAAGGAAGAAATGAAGAAAACAAGAAAAAAAGAATCTTCACTACATCAATAGGAATTGCTTTAATCAGATTTATCCCTCCTTAAACCACCCATTTTGCTACAGACCCTATCAGTATGTTTACTTCAGGAGCAGCTAGGTGCATGATCTAATGCTGCCAAATGCACCTCTTCAAGAGTCAAATCATGTGTCTAGTATAGCATCTCTCTTTGTCAGAACTTCTAATAGTAGTATCTTAAGGACAAGAAGTTTTGCTGTAAATTGATAGTAGGTATTTATGCTTCTTTTAATGTGTTTTGTTTTGACTGGGTAGTAAAAGAAGTCTTATCCATTCCTGTGCTCCTCTGGGGCACTTCCAGTGTTTCAGTCCTCTGGCACAAGCTGCTTTTGCAAAGCAACGATTACTGTAAAGGCACCGCCCCATTTCATTTTCCATATTCCAAGAAATTCCTAAATTATGTTGTCAGATGAGAAATCCGGAACATATCTTGTTAGCATGGAACATTGGTCTCATTAGTTTCGCAACGCCTCATTTAAGGATCCAATATGTCAGAGAATTGTCCTAAGCTTTGCTTTTCATTGAGGCTTAATAGGCGCCCTTATCCCTTTTACTAGACCTGTGATGCAAGGCTTGGTTTTGTTCTGTTGCCAAGACATTTCATTTGATCTCCTTCACCCTTACTTCTACTGCCTATTAAATGGAAGTAGCACTTTGAGAACCTTGGTGGGTGAAAAATGCTACATGAGAAGGTAGGCATTATTAATTAGAATGATCTTATTTTATCTTTTAGCTTTCATCGGAAGAAAAACGTCTGGATTGAAATGACAACAACAAATAATAGGTAAAGGATGCTTCCCTGTGGCCTCATAGATCTGCTGTGTAACAGAAAACATTCAGCCCTGGGTGCACAAGAGTTGTGGTTCACGTCTCTCTCCGAAGAAGCCTCATTTTAAATAATGTTGTAGCATACCTACTCAATGCAGATGCTGTGCTGCAGGCATTTTGGGCTGTGAATTTCAGCCTGTGCCTCTGGCTAGGCCATCGATGACAAGTTGCAATACTTGTCCTTCTTGCAGAGATCCCGGTCCATCTTCAGTCACGTCGCTCACTGATGGCTAGCTCCCTGTTTTGTTGTACATCAAAGGTTCATTTCATTCCCTTCCCTCCCTTTTCTCTAGGTGTTGGTGATTTGTGTGCTTTCCATCTAAACCAGAGATCTGGCACATCAATACTTAGAAGGCTTAGGAGAAAAAGAAAACATCAATATTTCACTGAACATACAAAGTTGCATGACTCCCAGATCTCCATTTTAATGTCAGCTGTGGTTAGTTTGGTTTTTTTTTTTTTTTTTTTTTTTCCATAATCTGAGTGATTTCAGCTTCTCTTTGAATCCCACCTGTGTGAATAGCTTGGTTTTCTCCATTGCTAGTTTTAACAAGGAGCTGTGAGGAGTTTGTTCAGGCTCACTAGTCAGGCAGTCCTGAGGTGGCTGACTTCTAGGAAAAGCCACAGCAGGAATAAGCTAGAGCCAGCCTACGCACCAGGCACAGCTCTTGCTGGTCTTGAGCTTATGCTCCGACTCACGCTCATGTTAAACAAATTGCCATTAGCAACTGTAATATAGACAAATGCAAAAAAAAACCCCAAACAACTGAGCTGGATGCTTAGTCATGGAGCTGTGCTTAGAAATGATGGCCCATTATAAGGCAGCTTCACTGACTACAGCGGAGCCATGACAGCTCACGGCAATTTAGGACTGGTTTCGCTCGCATTAGTCTGTGGTCTAAAGTTTCTGATCTTGTCCTCCATGTGAACTAGATCATGCAAATAGGGGTACTGGAGCCACAGGGAAGTGGAGCAGAGTGCCACATGAGTACTGGCACAAGAAGGAGCAGCAATTAGCTCTAAATTTCACTCTGCCGACCTGTCATTTCTGAGCTTCCCCCCTGCTGCTCTGTAACGGGAAGCCTTGTGCTCTAGAAGAAGGGGAGAAGAACATTTTGCTCATGCTCATATTAGACAAGTTGTATTGTGAGCTGCTGAAGCTGTGAAATTGTATCTCCTGTGGTGTTCAGTGGTAATAACTGTTTCTATGTGGACTCTCTGGTGTCTAGTAATACAGTTGTGTTTCTGCAGTGGATGCACTCACAGGGTTTTTCTCCTCTGCCCGCCTACTTCCACAGCACTTGTAGGCAGCTCAAACCTTTGAAACTTCCATCACCTGTCAAGTTTGATCAAACCCAGCTCATAGGCTCAAAAAATTATTTAGGAGGGACTGACTGGCACTTGCACAGACAGTGTGATCTCATAAGCTTCCTTTCCTTGGGAAACTAGGCTACCAACCTAGCAACAGGGGAAAAAAAATGTCATCCTGCTAGCAAAAAGGACCTAAACACTGGGAGAAAAGAGGGAAAGTGGGAGAGGAAAGTGAAGCTATTTTGAAGGGAAAAAAAAAATCATTGCCTGTGGCTGCAGAACTGTCACACACCTAAACAGCCAACCTTGGGAAGGCATGCTGGAGAAAATATTATCCAGGAGATGACAAAATCTCTTGTAAAAATTAATAGGGGAGAGAAATCACCTGGAGTCATCTCACCACCAGGCATTCTAAATGGATATTTATATAGTAAGGATTGTCTCCAGTGGTACCCGTTTCTCTCTACTGACTAGAGGAAGACACCAACACAACTAGCACACAACCCATACGCCTGCAGTATCTGACGTGAGGTGGTTCCTATTCCAAAGGGAACTATTCTCTTAGCACTTTCTCCTGCAGACCAAAGTTTTCCGTGGTGCTGCTGCAGGATTTGTTACTCCGTGTACCATATTTGTGTTTCAGAAAAGCTGCTTTGTGTCTTAATAGCTGCAAATGTACGCATGGTTTTACTGGATATTCATAAGCACTTATCTTTTGTGCACTAAAACCTTTCCTGTCCTTGTTATCTTACAGAATAAAATCCTTTAAGTGAACTTTAATGGTTCTAGTATTACTTCTTTACAAATTAGAGAGCTGTCATCCTGTTTTTATTTGTTATCACACAAAGTTTGAGGCTGTCAAAAGTATTATGGTGCATACTCATATAAATTGATATTTAATTTCAGTAATTATAATGTCACTAATTGTATTTTTACACCTGATGCAATTACTGACAGTCAGCTCTTGAGTTCTGCTTTGTTCCTTCTAGATTTAGGTGCTCCTTATTCTTTAATTTTCCCCACCTACGGTAGATTGTACACACAAAGAAACTCAGAAATAAAACCTCAGACCTTCCCATCAATTTCTGTGTGCCAAATGCTTGGGATAGTTTGAAACTCTGGGTGTACCCAGCGTGCAGGATATGCTCGAAACCTCACTCCCTATTACTGTCATTTTTATGAGGCTTAGAGGGGGTTGTGTTATCCAAATGTTGCACAGTGCTTAAGTGCTTGTACTTGCCTATTGCTAAAAGCCTTCCATTGCAATTTTTATAGGGCTTTTTTGCTTGTAGACTTTCACTTAACATACCCTGGGGCTGCTGTGGCAGTCCCTTGGCTTGGTATCTCAATGCTCTTCTCCTCATGGCCTTACACTGGTGCATTTATCATGTATTCCCCGAGAAAGAGTTTGTTTCCTATGTCTCAGCCATCCTTCTGTCCTCTTCTCCTCCTCTACCTTCTCCTCACGTTGACATTGAGTTATTTGTAGTTTGCACTGAGGTTCCCACACCCTGTCCACTTGGTGCCTTCTAGACTGATGATTCCATATTAGAACTAATATGACAGATAATGAGTAAATAATAGTAATTTTAATATATGATAAGTATTACCTAATTACAGATGTGTACAAGCAGCCAATTAGCAGGCAACATTTGTATCCAATTAAGCATAATCCAGTCAGTGTCAGTGTTGTCATCAGACAAAGATCACTGAAAGGCAACTTGAGCAGCCTTTAATGAAGGGTATAATTTTACTGGGAGAAAATTACAGGGGGGGTGTTGATATGACTGTGATCCTCTGCTGTGCAGGAATAGATACACAGGAGAGGAGGTTCATTTGAGGATTCCAGACTACATTTCTTCTTGGGTGGCCACCGGGTAAAATTTTCCTTTCAACCTTGAACGTGATGTATGCCATCAGCTACAAAAACAGTGAATAAAGCATGTGCTTTGTGCCTGTCAACATGCCTCAGCTTTCTCTGTTAAAGCACAAAGTAAAAAATCACCTGGGCCATAGAATTCCTCCTCTGTCCCAGTAGAGTTTGAGGTCAGTGATCCCTCTTCTCAAAGATACCTAAGACCCATTGGCCTCTGGGTTATAGTCCACACAGAACTTGGTTTGGTTCAATTTAATTAATAGAAAATCTTTTGTGGACAGTACATCTTTATCATCTTTATTATTATTGCCATATGTCAATATTATTGCCATCTATTTTTTCAATTCAGGTGTGGCTTTTACTATTTGAGCTTGAAAACTGTGCCTAACTGTCTTAAATTAAACCAACAAAAATTTAATTTAACCTGAAGGGAATGATTACTTCCCAGACAATTGCTGTGCTTTGTTCTACTGCTAGCGGTACCTGGTGCAAACAAAGTTTCATGTCCTATGACAGAGTCATGGCAGCATCCAGGCTGGGGTGTCCACGTGGCAATGAGCACTGACTTCACTCAGTCTTGCTGCTTTAGCCCACCTGCTAAAACAAGCCCTCTGACTGGGTGACCAAATTCACCTCTTGGTGCAAGTGAATATACCATATAGACCAGATCATAACTGTGGTGCCTGAGCTGGGTGCCCGGTGTGTGAAGAGGTACTCTAAGAGTGGGCAGGTATTATGCAAACTGTTGCTTGTACAGTTTTGCATAAACCCTTATGTTCCAGGTTCTTTGGAGGAAAGACTAAGAGGTCTGCAGAGATGCTATCTTAGGAGAAAAAAACTAAGACAACAAGAAAAGGTAATTTGCACTGAAGTATCTGGAGAACTCAACATTAACAGCAAGGTGAGTAACCTAGAAGAGGACCTACAGCTGTTAAAACAAACACATCTGAACAAAAAATTTGACCTCCTACATCAAGACACTCACTGCCCAAACATCCCAAGCAGTGTCTCTGAAACAGGCAGTCAGGCAGCCATCAGAAACATGGCTCATGTCTAATGTCTTAAAAATCATAATTGAGAGTGATTCCATATCTCCTTAGCCTCTGTTGGTGCTGCGCTTTCTTCACTGTCAAATATATCTTTTTCCTAAGCCTAACCTGAATTTTCCAGCTTTAGAGGTGACTAAAAATAGATTGGCTGAACATCTATTAGGAATGACATGGACCAGCCATTTACATGGTGACCTCTTGTGAGCTTTCCAATTTCCTTCCATGGTTTTCTAGCATTCCAGTGTGATAAAAGAACAGCTACAGGTGAAATATTTACTCTTCACAGAACATATGCTTTTGTTGAAATAAACACTATGATCTGATCATCAATCATTACCACCACTGCAAATATTTGCTGACCAGTATAAAACCAGCAGGGGTCAGCTGTTTTTATAAAGTCTTATTGGGGCAAAGACTTCTAAACAAATACATAAGGTTTCTCTTGCACTGCAAAGTCAGCATATGTTACTTTGGGATCAGAGAGATGGAAGAAATCCCAAGACATGAAGCTGTGCTGGAGATCTGGACACAGCCTGCTAGGTATGTAAAATAATTAGCACGGAGACAGTTAGCAGTATTATCATTTAGCCTTGCCATCATTATGCTTCAGAGTTAACCCAGCCTTAGATACAGCTATACAGGGAGAGGGTGTTACAAGGAAGCCAGTGACTAATCTTGTTGACATTTGGGCTAAAACCTGTCTAAACATACTGTTCCTTGGGGCACTTTATTCTAGTTGGAGATAACAAGGGAAAACCATCTCCCACTTTTCAGGCCGGCATGCCCAGGCTGATGTCCAGGCAGAAGAAAGGAGCTGGCATGCTGAGATATGCAAGGTGGGTGCCTCCTCCAGAGGCATGCCAGCCACTGGCTGCTGATGGCTTATGGCAGCAGAGAGAGTAGCAAAGATACCCATCCCGCCAGGTAGTTCGACCTGTGCCAGGACTGACTGAGGAACATTTTTCCACTGATATGTGTTGAGAGCTTGCCTGTGTTTATGCAATGTTAGCAAATAGTCCAACCCCTCATGTGCCAAGGGGACACCAGAAAAAAAGCTGTAATGATATCAGTTTAGGTATCAGCCCTACAAGCACATCCTCCCTCAGGCTCTGGCTCCCTTCTTGCTCAGTGACATCTGTTCTCTAGAAGGTCAGAGAAACACCTCTAATCCAAGCAGAGAGGTGGTTGGTCTCTCTCAGCTCCTGGCTTGAGCAGTAGGAAAGTCCTCTCAGTCAGGGTCATCATGTCCTCAGCTGGCCACCCTTCTCTTCCATAGCTCCTCTTCTTTTGCAGCACACCTCTACTCAGCAGCTTTATAAACTGCATTTCCCTCATCAACGGTAACTGTGGTCAGCTGAGACCTCCAAATGTCAAACCCTGTCCTAGGGATAGTGTCCCCTGGCAGCACATCCTGGAGAGCCGATGGACTCCGAGCGTAGGTAGCAGATTATAAGGCAGTGGAGTTTTACTATTATTACACTGTGTCAGACAGATTTCTGTATCTCAGGTTACTTACAGGAGCTGCTTCAGAAGAACAAGGTGTAGGAGGAAACAGTCAAGAGGAAAAGGCTTACCCTGAATATTTCCATTCTGTGTACAGGAAAGCTGCTTGGTGACAGGCAGAAGCTTTCCATAATTTTCTGTGTAAACAGCATTCGGCTTTAGCCTGTGGACTCAGCATCTTGCTCAGAGGAACCAGGGTTAAAATTGACCTGCAGACACTCTGCATTTGGCACTGAGAAGAGAAAGTCCTTGGGCCTCTGGAGCCCTGAGATGGAGCTTTAAGTATGTATTTAAAGGTCAGACAGCAGCTTTGGCGACTCATTTTAGCTCTTTTCCTCTGACAGGTTCCTAAAATGGGCTTACTCTCTGGATGCACCTGTTAAAGAGTATAACGCAAACAAAATCTTTTATGATCATAAAAGTAGAGTTCCAAGTCACATTATATTTTTGGAGAAATATAGCTCTGGAAAACAAATTTAGAGCAAAAGAATACACTGAATGCAGCTGGGAGTATTGCATTTGGTAATGAAGATGACCATGTGAAAACTGTCTGAGGAATACACAGAAGATATATTCCATGTATTGTTTTCCAGGTCAATGAAACTACAAATATAAAATGCAACCATCAGGAAGTTTCCTTGAGTTTGTAGAACTGATGGAAATTCTGAGTCCCTCTGGGCTTGATTTTCAAAAGTACCAGATCCTCTGAGTCCCCAGTATTACCAACTGGAGCTGCAGTTGCTGATCTGCAAGCTTAAACAAGGGTTGAGTTAGAGACTTCAAGACACAAATGAAATATTTTGTTCTTAGGCTGGTGTGCAGATATGGGTCAGCTGTAGCTTTTTTGTCCCATGTCTTAACTGCCTCAGGGCTGGATTGATGGGAAAGTTATTTTTGAAAGGAAAAAAAAAAGATAATATAGAAAACTGTGAAAATAGTCTTAGGCCATTTTGAGTGCATTTTATGCTGTATCCCACCGCCTTTACCTGTCCTTCCTGAAAAGTAGGTGTGGTTGTATGCACTTGTATTCTCTGAAGTCAATTTTTGTTCACAGACTTAGCCAGACTCCCTTAGGTAATTAATGTTTTTTCACTTTCATTGCCCAGCAAATTCTGACACTGCTCTTCACTGAATCTCCCCTGAAATCAGCTGATGGGGCAATGCTAGATAATGCAGGTCCCCAAGCAAGTTTCAGATGCAGTGCTGCAAACTATTTCTCAAGGAGTTTATCTTCCTATTCTCCCTGCACTTGTCAGCCCACACCCCAGAACTGTTCTGCCAGCCTGCCTCTGAAGCCCCCCCTTCTGTGCCCTCTCTTGGAT